TGGCGACTTCGGGAACTATACCAAGAAGTTTTGGATTTAGTTCTAATTTCCGCCACCATCCGATTTTGCAGTTTTCCCGTGCTTTTTCAAATTCAAATTTCGCATTAAATTGAACATCAAATTTATTTTAATGCAATTTTAACTAAGTTTACCAATTACTATTTATTTATTTATGGAAAATATGAGATAGTCGTAGTGATAGGTTTACTAAACAACACATATGTACCACTTAACTGTTTTTTATTGAAGAGATCTGAAAAAGATACACAATTTATAATAGTATTTGAATAAATTTCACAACAATTGCCTTAAATACTACTTATATATACGAGTTTACAATATATTTATAACAATATGTGCATAAATTCAGTAAAACATGGCTTAAATGTTATTCAGACTTATAACAATAGAAATAATTCCGTCTTCTGTAACTTGTAGATCTTCCGTACGATGTTTAAAGCTTCATATATAATAGTTTCATACGTTTGTCGTCGAAATTTTCATTCTTTGGGACATACGACGATAGATGTCGGACTCCTGTGGAGGGTTACGAGGCAGAGGACACATCACGAGTCGTGATTCACGACACATTTGTGTGTGAAGTAAATGATAGATAACTCACACATTTCACCCAGCACTGCCATATGCCCACACACTCCACGCCGTTGCCCGCCAGTGAATTTGGCGGGCGCCGAGTTGCCCACCACTGGTCTAATTTATGACCCCTTCGAGTGTCTACATATATTTATTGATATACCTATATATAATTTTTGTTGTTAGAATAAGTTAAAATAAGTGTACTAATTAGTATTTAATTGTAAGAAATAAAGACTTCGTAATTATATTAAATTTTACATCCTTCGAAATGGGAACCTCATTTTTGGGTACCTTATTTCCCTTATTAGTCAAATACTTGTTTTAAACGAAGGGTCTCATTTTCCGATAGTCTAAGGTCAACTTAAAACTTGCAGTGTTATTGACAATTATTTCTTTGCACCTCTGATTCTTTGTTAACCGAAAAAATATATCGGTTCCCTGTTTTACCCTACTTTCCCCTATGCAGTGCTTACATATAGTGTATACTTGCTTCTGTTCGATCGTAATCTACGCAGTTACTCATGTTGAAAATTTTATGTAATTTAGCAGTCAAAAGATGTGGGATCCATGAATATTTAAACAAACTGTCAATTTTCTTGACCTCTACATAAATAATTATTGTTAATACGTACTTACTATCTGGAAGTTGGTGCTCGAACTGATGTCCCCCAACTTCAATACAGCGATTTCATTACAGTGATTATTTTGTAAATATCTCGTTAACTATTAGGTTTAGATCTATGGTACAAAAGATAGGTCATTCTATTTAAAAAAAATCAAGGTTACCTTGAAATCTCTGAAATGCCTCCACCCACAAAAAAAACACCTTATAAGATGTGCCCCCTGATGCCATTTAAGTTCCATGCGTCAAAATTTTCATAAAGTGTATCATTAAGCCATTATTCAAGATGATCAAGTTACCTGAGAGTAGACATCCTGTATATTCGGACGTTTCTGTTCTGTCCCTACTCATTAATAAGAGATAAAAATATTTTAAAACTTCAATGCCATATTACCTAACATAATATTACAGGCTATTTTGATTCCATTTTTGAGCTTCACTACCACCCCTTAAGTATTGAAAACTATTTACGAGGCACCACGTATATTTACCTATCGAATGGAAATTTGTTTGAACATTTATTTTGAAATGTCAAATGTATTAATTAAAATGAATTTATTATATTAATTAAATTAAATAATTAAATTATCAAATTTCTTGTTTGTGTCTATTTTTTAAGAATAATTGATTAAATTTCAAATGTATTTTTTACCTTTACTTCGGTAATTACTTATCCTCCTTTTTCCCTGTTCTTTTTCAAATAAAATCTATCTAATCCTGTTTTCGCGCCGCTTCACGCATAAATTTATATTTTACTACAAACGAGCCTAAGTGCATGAGCCAAGAAAAAGTAGTTTCTCTTTATACGGTACAAGTCTCAGAGTTATCAATCACCGTGATGTTAAAATCCATCCAAGATCAGCAGTAACTGCATAGTATTCTCTGCTCGTGATAAGTATGTGCGGATAGTGCGGACACGCACGACGCGACATAAGTATACATACAAACAATTGTGATCGTCGAGCAATAATGCGTCTGAGCAATTCTTGAAAGGGTAACGCGATAATGCGACGAATACAATGATTGGTAAATATAACTGTGTACTCGTTACTCATTATAAGGAACGATACCATAGTTACATCTGTTTCCAACAACCACATCGACATAAATTATTTTGCTCTGTGAGGCTGTAGTCTTCTGAACTGGATAAACCGGAATCTTCTGGTAAGTATGTCCGTATAATACGACGATTATGTTGGATGTTTACCGTAATAGCATATAGTTTCAAGGATCTGCAATAACTGAATTAATAAGCCGACGATCAGATTTTAATTGAGTATTTTCAATAAGTGACAAGACGGTGGATGTTTATGCAACTTTACAATTGTTGACAGTAATATATATATATATATGTAGGAGAAACAAAATTCCACAGAAATTTCTTTCCTATATTATAAGTTTTAATAATATTTAATTTTACTGGAATCTTTATTTTGCTACGTTTTACAAGTCAACCGACGCTATAAATGCATAAACATCCGCTGCCCATTAATGATAAACATATTAACATCCAACGTACATCCAACGGACGTCCGTTTCATGTCCAGTTTATATCCGAATATCCTACGTTCACTTTGGACATCCCTAGGATGTTCGTAAGACTTAAAAGACAAAAAATGCCCGCAGTAGCACGAATTTTTTGTCGCTGACGCATATGTACGTTGTAACCGTTACTTAAAAAAATATGTTGCACATTACGAGAAATACAGGTAAAATGATACAATTTGAACACTGTTATTTCGAGAGAATTATAGGAATTCGAAAAATCTTTATTTCTAAAAAATTATTTTAAAAATGTTCATAATACATTATGTCCGTCCATATTGACGTTTAATCATGACACATATACACATACGACATACGTCTTCATCGCTGAAAATCCTAGGTTTCTGTTTATAGCCTCGAAAGAAATTTCACAAAACACCTTTGAATAACTTTTACCGTTTTATGTACCTACGCAAATGTAAACAGACATTTCGTTGCGTACGCTACGTAAATAAGTCCCCGGGTTAGGTATCACCAACGATGAGTCAATCATCTTAACGGATTTTCACCAGTTTCACGAAACGCGACGTGCTTCTACACGTTGGATTATTATGTATACAAAATTCACATATATCCGGAGATGCTAAATAGCGCATGTCACTTTGAACTCGCTCTTTCTCTCTCAGACACACACTCACGCATATATGCACGGCTACCCAGCAAGAGTATGAATAAAGGATAAGAGGGGAGAGTGAATCTATACGTAACTAATTGGGCAATAGGTCAGGGTTCAAGAATTTTCTACCCTCGTATCTGATTTTTGCTTTAATGTTTCAGATTCCCGTTATTTTTCAGTGTCTTCCCTTTTTACCCCAATTCACTAAAGTCACAATGTTTCTCGGGGATGATTAAAATTTAAACTGCCTACTTGGAAAACTGGGTCAAGACCCCATTAATCTGTCTTTGTTTGAGCACGTTCAGTTCTAAGGCGAATTTGTTGCTCGTCTAATAATACCTTCCCTTAAGTTTCTATTTCACTAAAATTAGGGTGTTTATTGTAAAACACTTGAAAATTAAATTGCTGCTTGGGAGCTAGGTCAAGGTCCTAATGATTTATTTGTTACTTGAACGTATTTTATGCAAAAAGTTGCCTTATACGTTTCTTATAATAGTTTCAACAAAATTTTGAAGACTTTCGAAAATTGATCCAAGTAGCAATTATTTAATAGATTCTGTTAATTCTCTAACATATCGCGTTTCGAATAATAATTTATTTTCAGAATAATTTCATCGAAAGTATCATGTAACTTTTGAAGAATCCAAATTTAAATTTAATCAATTCTAATCTACTAATCTATTGAATTCCTTACGCTGGCTCATGAAATGGCTGCGTTAAAATTGGTCAAGGTCATCGAGACTTTCCACCATATTTACTTTAATACGCCAAATTACAGCCGTTAACAAATTTTGTAACTAATTATTTTCATATTCTGTTGACATTATTGCACACCCTTAATCGAAAAATTAACAAATTCTAAAAAATAGGTCAAGATCAAAGTATTTAACATTTCGATAAACACTAATTTATTTTCCAAGTAATTTCTATTTTTATGTCTTCATTTACTTGAACATGTGAATATTGTAAGAAAAATTTTAAACAGTAATACTGCCCTGCTTTGCGAGGCAATGTAAAGACAAACACTACGTTCGCAATTAAAACTACTAAAATCAAATATTATACAAAGCAACAGAGAAACTGCTGTAACTGTAGTTAAAACTAAAATCGCCTTTCTCGCGCTGTTTCTATGCTATACATATAACAAGCATGTTGCTCACGAAACCCTGCTGTATGAAGTCACCACAGTGGCTTCCTGACAATATACATGTTTACCATTCCAAGATACTTCGAATAGTTAACAGTGTATCTATCAATAATGCTTAAAAATACAAAATTCATAATACATCAAAATATAAAAAATAATTACATTCGCTTAATCAAACAAATTTAAATATTCGTTGTGCATTTAAGTTTCCGAATAAAGTATACTTGCATCATTAGTTATAAGTAATTACACGATCTACATGCATCAAATAATAACTATTTATCTTTCGATAGTTATCAGACTATTTACTTTCTATCGTTTAAACTATGCACATTCCAGTTTTTAAAAATAACGCAATGTTAACTTTCAGTTCCACACGCATAATTTCTTCAAATTCACGAAGAAACTGATAGGTACGCAATGATACAAATACACAATGCAACGGTTACACAGGCTGAAAACATTATTCTTACCCTTTTTTCGAAACAGCTGCATCACACCAGGTGTCGACGAATCTTCGTTATCTTCAACGGTGGATTCAATTTCGGACGCCATTAACCCAACTTCCGACACTTTCAGTTTCCGGCTACGGAACCAACAAAGACAGCCTCGTCCGACCCGCCACTGCACACTTCGTCAATGCCAACCTCGTCGGTCGTGTCGTACCGGTGGAATTTCTGAGGATGCCTATCGACCGCCTCGTCTTTCCTCGTGGCACAATCGAACCAATCGGCCAATGAAAATAATAGGGAATAGTCACGTGCGAGGTTTTAACAATATATTAAGTGTAATCCGTTAGCAATATTGTGTTTGCATCGATGCCCTTGCACCCCCCCTCCGCAAGTCTCTCGAGCTACTCACTGCTTCGCGTGAAACAACATACTATACATACAATGTATGTATTTACACGGTTGTCCTCCTCCCAAAAAAAAAACTATATCAGTAGGTGAATAAGATTCAGTTGTCGACCGATTCGAATCATTGCACGCGAATCAACAACGGACCTACCGGCGGCACGGGATGACGTTACTTTCACCGGGGAACATCTGGACTGAATCGAGAACAGTGTTTGCTGTTAAATTAGTAACCTATCGCGGTGCATACGCCGTCATACATATATGTTTTCAAGATTTCTCGGTCAATGGTCACGATACGGTTTGATAGGTAATATCGGGAATTCAAGTTCTAGAAGATGATACCGAGATGTTTTCTTCGGCTGGCGTCGAACGTCCGAGTGAAAGTGCTACGTTCGTCATCGTACTATTTGGAAAATATATGTCGTCGTCGATGTTGAATCCGGGATTTTAAAGGTACTGAGAACGATTAAGGTCAAGACACATCACAACCACACAGACGTATGTACTATGTATCTCCGGATTAGTGTCCTGTTCCGATGTATAACATAAACACACATGCAGCATCAGAAATGTTATGCAAACAAAAAAATTTGATGACAGGATTCACTGAACTTTATTAACATGTAACAATGAAACCGGAAGTTAGTAGGAGTCCGTGTATGAGAAATCGTGCGATCGCACGCGCTTTAACGACCGTTCCCGGTAGACTGAGGACAGTCCAGTCAAAAGTCTAAAGGTTTATTTTTGGTCAGATTGTCACGCCAAAGTGGGAACAACGTGGCCAATGTCGTGTGTACGTGATTGCGTCAAAACGGATTGGCTTGGCCAATGTAATACAGTCCGCTTCGAACAGACTCCGCAAGTGCTAAGGTGACTAAAAACGCATGATTACAAAACTAACATTTCTTTTTTCTTCTTCTTTCATATTTTATCAATGTCCGGCTATACACGTTTGTCCTCGTAGTAATACTTCCCTATAGCCTCAAAAGACACTTTTTCCTTTGTATCACGCAATTGTACTAGGTTCTCGTAAAGATCGGATCCGCGTTTTGTAAATCAAACGCGTAACCAATCAACGTATGTATCCCAACGGTCATTTACGCGACATCGCGTTCAAACACTCTTCAAACAATACACGATAAACATTTCAAAAATAAGTATCAATACTCGTTTCCATTTCATTCTACAATCGTCGTACGTATAGTTAGATCTTATTTAATAAAACCCGCGCTATTGTGTAGTGTTTAATACGCAGAGAAGGTTACGCCGCGCCGAACGGTTTGGACGAGAGAGCACTATTGAGATACAATTCATGTGTGTAGTATACGTATCTAGGAATAACATCTGCGTGGAATACAGAGTAAGAGTTATTCTGCCGATACAAGTCGGATTAACAGCTGAATGCGCGCGCATCTTTTTTAAAAGTACAATTTCAACAGCTAACGCGGGATCAACACCTGATCTCGAATCCGATACTTCGAAGAAATTTGAAGAATCTCTCGACAAGCATCTTTTCGTGTTGGTCACGTTTCGTCGCGAGCTCCGCGAGCTTCTCGGTACGCGAGCGAAACGCCTCCACAAGGAAATCATGGCACAACGTCACGTCGTCTTCGTTCGCGGCTAATTTGTTTTGAACATTTGTTGTCGCCTCAACCGATTTCTCGGCGTGCTCGTCCCTACGGCAGGAATGTTTTATATACGTCGCGATGAAACGCACTAGAATACAGGCCAGGAACCTACGATGACACCAGAGAGCCTCGTAATCGTTATACATGCAAATGGCGCTCTCGTTCGCGCGACATTCTTCCGTCCAGTAGGACATTGTACGGAAGTACGTTTGTTGTTCCGCACTCGAGGAAGTCACCTTGTATTCCGTCCCGGCGGCATTAAACAGCCTCTGTAATTTATGCGTATCACTGACGTTCGATTTAATGTAACCGAACAGTTCCTCCCTGCATTGCTCCGCGACCGCCGGCAAACACTTTATCAACGACTCCCTCGGCAGTTCTTTGAACTCAAACATGTACTTCTGCAATAAGAATTGTCGATAGGACAGCCCGCTGTAATCCGATATGTGTCGTTGACACCAAGCAAGCGTGTTCTTCCACTCGTTCTCGAACGTTGGATAAACGAATCCACGCGACTCGCGTAGCGTCATCACGTGTCGCCGGTGACTCCACGCGTCGTAGTTGTTGGCGTACCTGTCCGCACATGTGGTCACCAGGTTTAATTCCGTGCAGAGCGGCGATTCCGCCGAATTGAAATCGTACCGGCTGTCCTTCGCGTTGAGCACGTACGACAGCAACCACCGTCGGTAGGCGAACGCCTCGAAACATTTCGGCTTATGGTAAAGCACCAACTGTGAAAACGCGAATTCCTCTGACACCTCTAATTTGTGATTTCTCACTAACTCGCGTCGCATATTCCAAAAAGTGGTGACATCCGGATTTAACAGCAGAGCACCTAGTAACCATTTTGCTATTGTGCTAGGCTCCTCTCGCCTGTGTTTATTCTGTCGAAGTTCAAAAAGTCGACGATAAGCGTAGGAACAAAGCGGTTGCACGCACCATGACGCCAATCCAAGACAGTCCTCCTGATGAAATACTGGTGATTTATTTTCATTATCTTCCGCGGGGACTATTTCGAAGGCTTTCCTGAAATTATACACGAAGAATGTTTCTTTCCATTTTTCTCCTAAATTAATACAAAAAATCGAACCAATAATAAATAATAGTTTTTTTTTAAAATAACATATTCACAATTGTAAGTTGATATTTGAGAGATATTATAAACATTGATATGCTTGGAACGACGAATTATAAAATATATATGTATGTCGTTCAGATAATATAATGTAGTGTATATAAATTATAATACCCCCTTGTTTCATCAAAAGTAACAATCTTTAAAAAATAAAATAAATAATACAGAGTATATTAAAAATGTGTGAAATATATATCTGTATACATGAATTATTATATAACAACATAAGGACCTTATATATTTAGAAAGATATGAAAATAACAATAATTCCGTGATGTGAAAAACATCGCTATTGTTTGCATATTTTTAATGCATGTAATTATAATTTAATGTGTTATTGTACATTGTACATAATTAACAGTACAGTGTACTGGCTATAAATTATACTTCACGTGAATATGCACATACAAAAAAACACATACACCCATTGTGATTATAACATTTAATAATCGTGATGGCGCCAGTTTCCTATTGCAGATATCAGATACCAACATTACTGATACTGTATTTACTATCCAAACCTTTTGCCAAGCGTCGTAGGTACGCGTATCCGATTAAAACGTATAAGTGACAGTGTTATGAATATGTTGGAATGGAAATCGTGAACACAGTAACGGTTATGTTTAATCGTGAATGTAATAGGTACTGCCGATGCACCTAATCGAAGAACTTAGTGGCACATTTCACAGATATTTTTAAAGACTCCGCCCTCGTAATGTATCTAAGAAAACACTCACAGTGACGGATTCTTCTTCACCACATTTTCGATGTCGGAAAGGATTTTCTCTGCTGCCGGGAAAATATCGTCTTGCATTGTAATCTTGCCACTATTGTTCGTTACATGTCTCGGGAAATCAAGTATAAACCAATACACGATTAACCCTTCTGTTTCTCTCTTGCTGCACCTTTCAATGCAGACACGATGTAGCGTTTTTCTGCGGAAGTGTGGGGGGATATACTGCGATACCGTTTGAAGTTTCCTGCAAGTCTCGAACGTTCGAAATCAGATGGCGCGAAATTATTGACGGTGAAGATGTTGATAAAAAGCAGGATTCGTATTTAACGGATCTGTAAATAAAAGTGAACTATTAATACGAACGGAAACAGTCTAGACATAATTTCTTCGTAGTCATAATCATTAATACCTTTCATGTATTTGTCTATTTACTAATATATAACAATGATTCATGCTACTAATATTGGGAATAAATTTGTTGGAATCAGAAACATTTTAATTTGAAATTCTACAGTTACACTCATTAAAATTATAAATTAAAAATTTCTTTCATACTACATAAATTTTTAAGCTTTGTATTATACATATATACTATCGAATAGTATTTATTATAACAAAAATTAAAATTGTTTGTACGCCTTATCTAATGTATATTTTATTGCTGTTTTAATGTAAAATTATTATTTCATTTTAAATTTGGGAAAGCATTACAAATAAGCAAATGATCGATCGAAACGATTGATAGCTTGGATAAGTGTCGTGCCATAAGGGCATTACTTAATATATAGAGTCAAGTCTGGCTATAAGTCGGTATAACCTATACGTCACTGAGTTCCCCTCAAATTCATTACTCATCTTACCTTATAAGGAAAACCTTCTTTAATCGGTGAACACTTCATTTTCGACGGACGAGGTAAACTATTTACATTAAAACAATGTCTGATCCCCGCATAAGAACTCTAAAAATTAAAACTGGAGTAGTGAAACGACTCGCGAAAGAAAAAGTCACATATGAGAAGGAAGCAGCACAGCAACGTGAAAGGATACAAAAATTAAAAGAACAGGGTGAGAATATTTCAAAATATGCTGCCGGAAGCATGTTTTATTTGTTCAAAATTTGATCCTTTCAATAGCTGTGTTATCTGTTACTACGCTTTCGTACATTTTTCGTCTTAAACCATCAAATTCTTTGTTTGATTTGATACATAACTTGTTGTAACGTTTGTAGACACGCTTATAACGCATGCAATGCTACAATTATTTCAGAATTCTTGAAATTTCAGGGAATGCAATATTTATATGATTTATGATTATTTTACAGACAAGGATGGTTATGACATAAAGAAGCAAGAAGAGGTTCTTCAAGAGTCCCTAATGATGGTACCAGATTGTCAACGACGACTTGTAAAAGCGTTCGAAGAATTGAAAAAAATTTTAGAAACAGAACAAGATTTGAAAGAGATCGAAGATTACATTGAAGCGGAAAAAGTATTGCAAGAGGCTGAAACTCAACTTCCTAAAGATGGAGGGATCATGGAAATGTGTTAGAAAGTGATGCCTACTAATTCTATTCAGAAACCGCCAAAAGTTATGAAAGAACTATATTTTCATCTAACATACACCTAAATATATAACAACTTAAAGTAATCATTTAACGTGTAAAGGAAGTGATAGTATTAAGACATTTTATATATTACTAAATTAAGTGTCAATTTCAAACGATTATGTCTAATAATCAAAGTTTTGTAGAGGGTTCCAAGCAAAACTATAGGAATCAAAGTTACAATATGTATCATCCAATAAATCAGTCTATTTATAATGCCAATTACAATATGAATTTACATCCGAATTATATGTATCCGATCAGTGCAACTTCTGATGATGATAGCAAAAATACTATCACCATAATTACAAAAGAAAAAAGACAGGCTGATGAACAAGACATCAATCATTTTCTTGAAGACATAGATCAGTCCAAAAATATAAATGACCAGAGAAAAATTAAACGAAAGTCAAAAATTGCAACTACCAAAGATGCCATAACATCGGCAAACAAATTAAACGAAAAATTAAAAATAATTTGTGCAGAGCTAAAAGATGAACAAAATTTATCTGAAGACGAATGGCAAGAAAAAGTGAACATTTGTGAAACAGCAAAAAGTGAAATTATGAAATTGTTAGAACCCATTAGAGATCAAAATTTTGTAAGTCAGTTGAAGAAGGACTTAGAGAGACGTAAAAAAAAGAGATTAAGAGAAAAAATTAAAAAGGCAAAATGGAAACATGAAAAGACAGTGAAAATGGAAAGGAGAGCAAGATTGCATGCACAGATTGATTCGTGGATTAGAAAAGAACAAGCTGTAATAGAGAAAGAAAAACAAGAGGAAAATTTACGTAAAGATGCAGACATGATTTTATCTGATGTCAGAATGAAACGAAGTGATGTAAGGAAATACCTTGGACTGTTACAAGACTTAAAAAATTTGAGGAGTGTTAAGGCTAATATTGCCAGGGCAAGAGGAGAACATTTATCATCAGCAGCAGATGAAGCATTTAATAATATCATAGGTACTATTGTAATTATATTTCTAATAAATATTTTAGAAATTCAATTAATATTGAAAATGTTTCCTATTTCTAGCAAAGTTAACAGAACAATGGTCAACACTTGATAGAGAATATTCCATAGAAGAACAGGGTTTAAAATTAATGTTAAAGACTGATAATGAGGAAAGAATTGAAAAACAAAAGAAGAATCTGTTTGATGAGTGGGAGAATGTACTATTCGGAAAAAAGATATTAATGTGTGATCAATATGACACAGATTTAACTAATTTTATTACTACGAGGTAAGTATGTTGTCATAAATAAATGGTATTAAGTAGTATAAGAATGTAATTTCTCAATAGCAAAATTATTATATTTTTAGAACTGCTTGGGACAAACACATAAGTACAGATCGTGATGCATCTGCAATTCCAGTTGGGTGGGTAATGCCTGATAAACCATCTTCTGCTGCCTGGCAAAAGTATCTCAAAAAGGAAATTTCATGAAATAAGCCAATAAACTATAATTTAGAGGAATAAGTAAACTTTGATACACGCCTTAATAGTTTATATTGTATAAACGTAAATGATATGTAATGTAATTTAAGAAAATTAAAAAAAAATCTCTGGTCTATTGTACATTATGTTAAGTATTTTATGATTTAGAATGTCTGATAAGTGAAAACATGACGTATGATATTTTAGTTTTATTACAATATATATGAACAGTATGTACAAAATTTTTTTATGATACACGATGCGATAATATAATGCCTTACATTCATGCTATACTCAAAATTAGATTCTTTTGAGCAGCACTTGAAGGTTCCAATATTTGAGTGTCTTTTACTGGTGCAGGAACTGCGGTTTCTGCAGCAGACAATATCATGTGCAACTTTCCTTGCAATTCTGATAAAGCTAATATTAAATTTTCTTCCTCTTCCAATTTGGCCGCTAAAAGAGTAAACATTTTTCGTGGTTCTGCTCCGAGTTCGTCCAAACGATCTTCATAAACATCTGTTAAATTATAACGCTTATCATTAGGTTATATGCACAAATTAAACATGATCGGTACTAGCGTCACATGTGTGACGCTTCGATTTCCAAATCAGCATACTTTATTAAATAAAAGCAGAATGTATTTTGTAATATTCGCCTATATTTTATGCATTCATTATCTTTATTTCATGTCTATTTAATACTCAATTAAGATTGTAGGAACAATCCACTGAGTAGAATGATGGAAACCCAATGTGGTCTCTGATGAACATTTTCGAAACAATACAATGGTATCGAACGTATTAATATTTGAAAAAAAAAATTAAAAAATGTAATACATACCCATCAGAACATTAGCAGCATGTAATAATACTCTTCCAAATCGAACACTTCCTATATGTTTATTTAAGAATTTAATAATATTTACAAGTGATTTGCCGTTTCTACCAGCAAAAGATTGTTTTAAACCCTGCCTTCTGATCAATTCTTGCATAAGCGCAACCGTAACGTGCGGTGCTTTGTTTACAACATAACTCATCATCACACAGTCCAAAGCTTTAGAATATTGAAACTTTCTTAAATAAGTATCATGCTTTGACATAATTTCTTTCATATCCTCATTTACGATCATGTCTACATGTGGTGTATGCAAATTTTTACCAGAATGTCTATATGATACTTTTTTACGTTGTGGTTTTTCATTTTTCACATCTTCTTCTCTTCTCCGAACAGATATTAAACCATCAACCATGCCAGCTACTATGGTTTCATCATTAGACTGGAATTACAAAATTTCATTATGTTTAGAAGTTCTATTTAAAATAATATAAAATATAAATAATTTCTTACACTAATTCCTATACTGAGAACTGAATTTGGATAGTCCAAAGAATGAACAGTTTTATATGTTCCAGAATCATAAATTTTTACGTGTCTGTCTAACGAGCCAGACAAAATCCTATGGCCATTCGAAGCCAGTTTTAGACAAGTCACAGTTTTATGGTGTTGCATAATCTTTGCAAGTAGTCTTCCTCCAGCAAGTGCATCCCATACTTTGATTTCTGTTCCACCTTTTTGTAAATGTACAACACATTTCTTACTGATTTGAAATATATTAATGTAATATGAATAGGATATAATTAAGGTATATTTACCTGCGGATAAAAATATTCCACCAGATGGCAAAAATAATAAACTTTCAACAGGAGCTTCATGGTTTACATTAAGAATTTGTTTGTTTGTTCGTGTATCATACATATATATGTGTTTGTCATAACCACCGGACAATAATATATCTTTGGAAATAGGACTTACTGCACCAGCTCTGATATAGTCTGAATGCTCATTAAAGGATATAATTTGCTTTTCACTGGGTATATCCCAAACAATGGCAGTCTTATCATCAGAAAATGAAGCAATATGAAGATTGTCATTGGTGAAAAATGTTCTGTGTACAGCAGCTTTGTGCCCAGAGAAAAGTCGAAGAAGGCTTTTTGTATTAACATCAAAGAGTCTAATAACTGCTTCTTCTCCACCAGCACAAAGCAACTTTCCATCATTGCGGAAAGAGCCACCATAAGCAGCTTCTTTAAATCTACTAAGATTTTTTGTGACTAGTTTTGTAATTGGATTATATACTTGTACTCTTACTGAACAAGTGACAGCAAAATAATGTGGTTCCACAGGTGAAAAGTCTATATAATCAATAGGTCCAAATTCCTTAACTAAGACAGGAGCCTGTTGAGTAAATGTGATACATGTTATGATACAATGTATATATGTAAATATATGTTTATTTTTATCTTAACATTATACGTTAGGTTAAGTCATATACACGTGGGTATCATAAACTAATTAATGTACTATGATTGTTGAAAAATTTGTGTTCTTCTGTTTGTTAAAACATACTTACAGTATATTTTTTCCAATATATGTTATCCGGGGTTAATTCAGTTCCTGATCTTGCAAATACTTTGGTATTTATTTTCTTAAAGGACGCCATTTCTTTAAAAATGTCAGCTGTAATCTAAAGTTTAGTAGAGGGGGTAAACTTCTCTCGTTGACAATTGATGGAAGCTGCTCCCTTTGATTTCTGTAATTGTTCAGGAATCAATTTATTTCTTGTTATCACTAAATAAAGAAACCCTAAGAAAATATTTCACAAGGACACTAGACGACATGTTTAGGATGTTTCAGTGGGCTTTGTTAGATTTTATATGGTTTTGCTGCTCGTTTCAATATGGCGATGGTTAGTTGCTTGGTGTGTCGAAGGTCTCCTTACTTATTATGAATTTCGTGGTTTTCTTTTCTATTTCTTTGTATAATTTTGATGTAAAGCCCTGATATTCATATGATTCTCTGTAAGTGCATACGAGTTACGTAATTATGAAGTTCTGTATCTGATGAACAAGGAATTTCGTCCGAAAGTAGTTTTGCTTACATAGGTAGCTTGATAGATTTGGCAATTGCCGTTCCTCTATTTAGTAAGGTTTGTCATATTTTATAAATAATCACAAAGATAAAAATTATTACGCATATATCCTGAAATTATTGTCGACGAATAAGTTTTATTTTCATTATTTCTTAATTCCTACAAAAGCTCACAGCTTGATTTTGTTTCAGTTAGAGAAGAATTGCTGCCAAGAAGAGTTTCTTGTTATTTCACTGCATACCAACCACATTTATAAATATTTCGCCAGACGAGATTGGGATTTCCATTGACGGTGTTATTCGTACACTATAATTTTTCAATGCTCTAAGAAGTATTTGTCGGTCATTACAATGATCGTATTGTTGTATGAACATAAACAAGATGTTTGAATTATTGAATTCCTTTTGGAAGTCAAACGAGTAAGGATAATTTTAATTATAATGACAGAAACACTTATTTATGTTTCATTTATAGAAAGTAATTCAATTGAACATAATAATCAGGAATATTTAACTTAATATTTTTGAGACTATAGTTTAAAAATAGTTTCAATTATTACATAGGCAAGGGCTAATTTTAATAATTGCCACGAAAGTTTTGTACACAACAAACTTTAGTTTATAAATAATAAAATTTAAAAAAATGGCTGAGACACAGAGAATGACTGTCTATGGTAGACATCCTCCCTGTGCTAATGGCAATCGTTTAGAAGAACGCCGTGCTAGGTAAAGTAATAAAAAATAAAAATAGCTATATATAATATATATGTATTTCAATTTTATTCCAAGGTATTAAACAATTATTTTAACTTCCTCTTATAGATTAGCTTTAAGTTTGGAAAGAAATCGAAAACTGGATAAACAAGAAGACTTTGTCTGCTATGAATCAAGTGATGATGAAGCAGAATCTATAAATGAAGGAAAACAGTTTTTAAGGACATCTTTTAACTTTGTGGACTATGTACGTGCTAGGGAAACAAATACGAGAGAAGTGCGGAAAATAAATCAAGAATATGGATTTCGTCACATATTGACTCATGAATTATTTAAAGAATATTCAGTTAGTTTAAATAATATGAATAAGGTCTTTTGCTCTCAGTGGTTAAGTGATAGGCAAGTAGTATTTGGTACAAAATGCAACAAATTGATGGTTTATGACGTAGCAACACAGAAATTAGATCAAATACCCTCCTTGCATGGCCGACAAATTAATTCAGGAGGTGCTGCTGTTCCTGAGCAGCAGTGCGGTATACATTGTGTTCAAATTAATCCATCAAGGTATTCAGATAAGAAAAAATCATATTATTTTGACCTTGTGTAGTGTTTTCTGCCTATAATTTTCTTTTTATATATTGCAGAACTCTTTTATCAACTGGAGCAAGAAATAGTAATGAAATTGCGATATACAGGCTACCGACGTTAGACCCAGTTTGTGTGGGAGAAGGTGCCCACAGAGATTGGGTTTTTGATATGTGTTGGCTAGACGATGAATTTTTAGTTTCTGGTTCTAGAGATACTAAAATGGCTTTATGGCGAATCGACAGTGATCTTGCAGAAGCCCCTGACAAAGCAGATGTGCCTACACACAGGTTGTACAATCCAATGTATAGATAACAGTTTACACTCTAAAATATTATATTAATCAATCTGTTTCTTCTTCTGTTAGGTTAATTCAACCTGTGTGTGTCAAGGAATGCAGATCAGCTCAAAGAGTGCGAGCTCTTGCTTTTCATAGAACATACAAAGAAATTGCTGCACTTACTTTGAATAGCTTTATACACATCTGGTCTGCTGAGACATTCAGACAAAAGATATCTAGAAAATTACCAGTTTGTCAAGAAAATGTTTGCCTTGCAGTACAAGATAATGGTGTTTATGCAGTAGGATGTCGGTCTCACACTTTATTGTTAGATCCAAGGACACTACAAATTATTAAAAAAGTACCATCACGGTATGCAATACATATTTTCCTCAAATATTTTGCTTTAGTAGTTCCATAAAATTACTAAATTGTTATATATTTCCTTTAGGTATAGCGGTTGTGGAATACGATCAGCCAGTTTCCAAGGCTCTGTTTTAACAATTGGAACAGGCTTAGGAATGCTGATGTTTTACGATGTTAGAGCTCAGAAATATCTGGAGTCTTCAATTAATTCTATTAGGACCGTTATACTCAAAGCATCTAAAGGATACGTAGTATGTTTTAATTTCTTCACCAGTTTAAATTCAACGTTATTAATTTAGTAAAAACATAATACTCACGTACATAATGGTATTAGTTTCCGGATGAAGAATATATTGATGGATTCCAAAACGTGAGGTACACACCTGCTATATATACTCATTGCTATGACGGATCAGGTACACGACTATTTGCAGCTGGCGGTCCTCTTCCCATGAATCTTTATGGTAACTATGCAGGATTGTGGCAATAAAGTTAATCTTAATTGAATATTGAACAGCATCGATTTTTACGTAATTGATTGTAAGTTGTATATTTAAATTATCTAGATTTCATCTGGGGAGGTATATATGCCTATTAACATTGTCTTAAAATCCTTTCTTCATTCTGCATTTTGATACATTTGCATGAGATTGTCTCTTCTTATTATCTCATGTACATTATTGTTCCGTAACTGATGGTATAATCAAAGTTTAAAAGATTACTTTATGCGATGTTATATAATTAAAACATTATTGACATAAAAAAGAAATTGAAAATGTGAACACTATTTTTCTTTTGGTAGTAGTGGTGATTTTGCTTCCAATAGAATTGAGTTTAAATATTGATTGAATATTGGCTATCTTATAAAATCCTTTGAGTGTATAAGATTATGTTTGACTATAGGTACGTGTAACCAGCCGATATACAAGTTGAATGCCTTCAAAAACGAAACCTTTAACGAAAAACCTTAACAAAACTGATTCGATTTGTTTTTTTTTTTCTATAGAATTAGCATTTCTCGGGTTGTACCATCAGTAGCGAGATACTCCAAACAGATCTGGGGAAGAAATATTACAGCTACACAGATAGTAAAATCTTAAGAGTGTAATAATGCAATTTTGAGAATTTAATATGGTATTCAAACCTTTTTATATTCATGATTAGATAAGGAAGTAGAAGAAATAATAACAAGAGAAAAATTCATCCTCAAGGTATATATACCTCGATTGCCTCATGGGTAGCGTGAAAGAAGTTAAAATAATTGTCATACTTTTATCATTTAAATCACATATTTAGCTACAAACACAAATTTCATTTCGAAGATTCATTTTACTAAGCAATCAATAGCATGTTTACGTATCAGTGTGAATGAAAACAAAAGTTTAGTCGCGTATTTAAGATATGTATCGGGTAAATAATGTCATGATTTAACATCACCAATTTATTATAAGAACGGCAAGAAAATGTTTGTCATTATGTAACATAAAATTTTGCACTCGTACTAATTATTATAGGTAAAAAAATTAACAAATTAATGAATGAGGATCTCCTTTGGATTATAATGAGAATGATGTTGTAGGAAGTTATTTCATAAATTATTAATAATTTGAATCTTCATATCACCTACATGTAGTGTGATATTTGAAACCACCTTGATATTTTGTATTGTATATCTCCATCTGTCTGAAAATTTAGAAAATTGATCAACGAATAATACTGCAATGAACATTAAGTTTTATCAGATACAATCTATAAAGTTGAAATTTTAAAACTAACCTTAGAAGGACAATATATTTACAATGAATATTTGTTACACAAACTTACATCAGACTCGTGGAATTTTCATCAATGTTCGAACTGTGAAGCATTGTATTTTGAATTTCTGTGGCGATTGTTAATATTTTGTTAAATCAAAACGTGAGAAAATATACAGTTTATTATCTTTCAGACATTAATTTTCTTAACAAGATGTTTTTCTTCAAACTTCACGTATTAAGTATATTAATTGTAACTATTAGTACTTGAAATACGTAAGGTATGTACGTGCAGGTATTTTAAATTGTAGCTGCTCAAATTTGATTGGACTCAATATCCATATGTTATACAGTTTTATGACGATGAAGTATTAGTGAATGTAAGTTGTGTGCATTTACGATAAAAAATAATGATATACAGGACCTGTGATTGTATAAATCTATTTGTTGGATGTAATTAAGAAAATTCATTTTAACAAATTTATCTTTAACTAGTGAGATATTATTTTACGGATAAGTAATGACATAGAATGTGTGCGATTATTTTTAGGTGCAATTACTGAAATTATATTTGGTTTAGGAAATTAATTGTGCTTGAGTTTTTGGTGTACTGTTTGTCAGTGTCTTAATACACTAAAGGAGGATGATAAAAAGTGATCAAATATACGGTTGTTCCGATACTCAAAAGATTAATGAGACATTATTCGGTAAATAATTATGCATTTCTAATTACTTGGAACATACGGAATATTGCCTCGTCAATATTTTAGGTACCGGAACAACCATGAATTTGACCACTTTCTACCATTCTCCTTTGTTGATGCAGTAATGATGCTATTGCATTTTTAATATTTAGGATAGGACATTTTAATGGGTTCAAATTGTTGGCATGGAAACAATATGTATGTAATAGCTTATACATATGTATAAGTAAACAATATGATCCATATATGATAACAAAGTATATTCTGTCCACTTACACATTAACGGATTATAAATTGTTATCGTATGCTCATAAAGTCATTACATTACATAATAAGAAAAAATGTGTGTTGTATCTACGAAATCCTGGATAGATTGTATAAATATTGTATGTGACCTTGCATAATGAATGAGTACATTGAACGCATTTTAACATAGACTATCGCATGTACTTTTAATATAAATACTACAGAAGGGAAAAGTACTACAAGACATCAATAGCTCTGTTTCACAATAATTTGATGCATTTTTGGTATTTTTTGAAAATACATACACTTTAACAATGAACTATTAGGTTTCATTCATTGTTGTAAAATTGTCTTTTATACACACAATATTATAACATCCATATTAAAACGTCCTAATTTTCATACTAGTACCATTTAAATAAGAAAATCTAAGCATCATATATTTCATCTCGACTAATAAAATATGAAAAGTATAAATAAATAATTTTTATACTTAAATGTACATATAAGTTATATAACAATTTTGTACAATTATAATCGCTGCATAACTCTGTCAGGAAAAGTTCTTTCATATGTTAATTTATATTAGAAAGTCTATGACCATTAATTTGATTTTAGAACTATTTCAAATTATTTGTGCTCATATTTCCTAATATTTTCTCCTTTTTCTTGTGAAATGTATCTTGTTATGTGTATTTTGTATCACAGAAGTATAATTAAGTCTGTTTGTATCAATCTTTCTATTTGTGTTCTTATTTTATCAGTAGTCAAATGTTATTTCAAAAAATATTTTTCATGTTAAAGATTGGTGGAAAATATGTAAAAACGTTTCTTCTTTTTTTTATATATTTTTTTAGATTTTTAGTTTGAAAGTTTACAATCCGTTTTGATTGTTAACAAAGTATTCAGTGCAATTAGCATATGTATAAAAGTTGTATACAGAGTGTTCCGTCATGAAACCGATAAACTTGGCAAACATGTTCGAAAGGTTATTATAAGCAACAAAAAAATTATGTAACCATCGATCGATTTATCTCTGTCTTCAAAATATGGAAAATTTATTGATACAAGTCACAAATGATCATGCATATTTAAGTTATCTGATTTACATTTAACATTTGCTTAATGGTATGTTTTATATTAGGCTGACATTGCTTTTACACGTACTGTTCCAAATAACCATACCTCGTACCTATCTATATACATAACACATGCAAGTAAGCATGTTGCTAACAGTAACTTACAATAATTCACAGCAACTTACAATGACTCATAGATTCGTTTACACTTTCAAAAGAACAAGTAAATGTAAAAAGTTCTTATATGCTCCTTATTTATTTATTTATTTATTTATTTATTTATTTATTTATTTATTTATTTATGTATTTACTTATTCGTGTTACCTCCAACTCTACCACTCTTTTATGATACATTTTTCTGAATTTTAAATAAAAATTTACGGTTTGATATGTAATTTAATTAAACAAATATGACAGTTTTCCATGAACAAATGTATGAGTCACTGTATAATAAGGATTACAATGAGGTGGTGAGATGTTCTTCGTAAAAATCAGTACAAATACGAACTCACTCGGATTATTTTGAGGGCAATATTAATGACTTCTATGTTAACGACGCACTATGTAGAACGAATAAGCATTTCGGTCTCTATCTCGGTAACAGAGCTGAATCCACCCATGGTTTATTACTCTATATTTTGTTGATGATTTTGACATTGAAATTGTCGGTTTCATTACGGAACACACTGTAGAATTCTCAGTAATTGAATGATAGCTTGTTACGTTCCGTCGGGGTATTATAATTGATTTTAAACAAATATATACAACATTTGATTTAAACTAATTGTGAAAAGAAAATACTGAATGGATTTCTGTATTTTTATTTGATATTTCAGATATTATATGTATATCTCGTACGTACAATGCTATTTGGACGGTGAACAAAGCTATGTTGATATAACATTGTAATTCTGCGTGTGTGCGCGCGTGTGATGTCGCTAAGTAATCTATGTAAATAAATATACCAAATCATTTATTGAAGTCTATATATTTATTAATAATTTTAGCTAAAACGAAATACGGAAAAAGTAAGAAAAGAGGCTCATTCTGCTTACAAATAATTTATTATTGGTATATTGATACAACCTTTTTCTTTTTTTATTTCATTGAGAATCGTCACATATAACGTGTAAAGTGTGTATAATGTATACAAAACACGCGTAAATCGCGATATACTTGTAGTACATGTGTTGCAAATGTTTTCGGTTATTGAGACATAGCCGTAATTACATTAGAGATATGTTGGGTGTTGAAAATATATGTATATCAAGGCGCAATATAGGTAAAAACAGTGACCATCTTGCTCTATAATGCACTCGTCGATATGTTGTTAGAGTATAGCTCTTGACGAGTAGAAGATTAATGCCTTCAATAAAGGATTTTCCTCGGAGCGCGTCTTTCTATTGGCGTGATCTCAGCGATAAATTGCTTCTTTCACGCGGTCATTCTGTGGGGATTAACGATGCGGTTCTACCGCCATCACTACAAAACCCACAGTAGGGCGTAAATAAGCTCATTTTTCTTTTTGGTATAGATTGACAGTTTATATCCTAACACGCGAGTACCGTAAATAAATATACATTAATCGTATAATACATTCCGAAAATAAATAGAGTATTTCACAATTATTGCATAAATTAGTGAGCACTACTATGGAAATCGATACGGTTTCACGAGGAACGTTATGTCTGAACCGTTTCCCCGTATATTTAGAAAATATATCGTTATTTTCTTCACCGGCAATCATAAGTAACCGTAACCATGATTTCATCCCTTAAATCGTATTCAACAAAGAATAATAATACTCTTTCTATCTCCCGACAATCATAATAATACAGCAGCAAGTCTACGGCTTTTCATCCGTTCCGTTTCAGCATGATCATCAAAACAAGGTTATGTTAACAAAAAAAAAATCAAAGATGCCCAGCATCTAAGGCCTTATTGATATCACTAACTAGCATTCCTAAAATAGGTCTGTGTTCGGAGTCCTGTCTGAATACAGAATCCAAAAAGTCGGAATGCGTTAAAAAGTCGAACACCTGGTCACACCGGTCTTGAGATTTGTCCGTTAGATGTGGCTTTATGAGCACTTGTATCGCGGTTCTGCTGCGTTCCAGAGACTTGATTAAATAAGATTTATCGAAACTGAATTCTAACTCGTAAAACGAAACCACAGACATCGCCACAGCTCGGAGGGCGATTCTTATTTCGGCGAGTTTTGCGTCGTCGGCGGCGTGTAACTGCTGATTACGTTGTAGCAATCCAACCTGTAAAAAGGACATTTATGACAATGGTGAAGTTGGGAAACAAGTTTTTGATAAATCAGATTGAAGGTTAGTCCAATGCTGTTTGACATAAGCTGCGGAGCTTATGTTATAGAATGTCTACTCAGGATTTATTCGAAAACTAAACAAAATTCTATAATTGAAACGATGTAAAACATAAAGGAAGAGTAAGATACGGCAGATTCAATGATCTTAGATGATTTAAATTACTTATTCATTTCTATCCATACATGAAGTTATACATAAATACATTTTTGTTGATGGATATGAACACTTGTTGCAAAGCTTAATTGTAATGCAATAAAAATATATACAAATGTGTATATTCCGAATAATAATTTACAGATTTAAAATTAAAGTATTTCCAGAATTAAATATTTCTTTGAAAATGTCTTAATAATTTTTTAAGTACCTAAAGCAAAGGTAACAAATTGCAACTGTATTTTGGTATAACAGGTATACACCTACATGCATAATAGTAACTAAATAGAACTGAGAACATCTAAAATTATTCAATCTTGCCTTGTACCTTTTCTTTCACATATCAAATTTTGCTATCCCGATGATACAGTACATTCCGATAGGATGCCGTGTATACATATTACGTGACCAATATAGATACAAGACCATGCATAGAGGAAGTGGAAGCCGTGTAAGAGGTTCCGTGGATAGCATTACTTTAACCAATTTCAGTTATACAGACCGCCAATGAATTCCTTCTTTCTCTAGCCTGTAGGTAAATTTAAGTCAAGGGATTGCTCGAGACTAACGGAGTAATCTCATATCGTTCGCTTATCCGACTCTTATATCTTGTATCTTTTAGAACATTCCCAAGCATGACGCTCATACATATGCAACACCATTTTTCATTATGAAGTTATTAATAGACCGTGAATGTTTATGCAAATATAAATTTTAGGGACTAGTTTACAGAAACCGAAATCGAATGAAAATTTCTTTATTCCCCGTTATTAAATATTTTTACTGCACTCCCTGTTAAACAATCCAGAAATATTTGTATGTCAGAGTTAGGCGAGAGGGTAAAGTTAAAAATAGTAGGTAATCATATTTGCTCTAATTAACTGTGACTTGGGCATTGGTCAGTTAATTTTACTCGGCCTATAACAATCCAAAGAACAGTCCATTTCTGATATATCTGTACTGACAATGAGACACAACATGATAGATACCTTAATAGACAATTTAACAATGTTTTTCAAAACTTTTTCCGGCTGCTTTTTGTCCAAGGTAGAATTAGTCTTTGCAGCTCTCTCCATGAGCTTGTAGAGATTGTCTAACAGCGATGTGGTCGCATCGTCTATCAGAAGCGATCTTCCTGCTCCTGTAGATACAACTCTGCCCAGAAGTTTCTTTTGAGCACGTAGACCTAAATCACGGGCACGACTTCCGGTGCCGCCGGCGGGATAAGATCCGCCGTTCAGTGTAGTCGCCGACTGCATCACTAAAAAGAGTCGGTCAGATTGTACGCAGCTGTTTGGTGAAGATAACATATGTTTCGAATAATGGCTCCTGTGTTAGGTCAAAAGACAGAGACGAAAATGAAAGACACATATGTATGTATCTGGACCCCAGAGCCAGATTGTATTAAGTCCACTATTTAAAAACAAAAAATGCCATTTTACATGTTTCCAGTATCCAACTTTTCACTTCTTCCGATGGTAAAAATTATTTCGTTCCAAGTTGTTTAGTTTTTAATACAATAGTGTAAAACCGATATTAAATCCGTATTTTGTTCCGAGCCAAACAATGTGAAGTCCATTACATAGGAGACTTAAGGTAGCACACGCGTTTGGTGTCCATATGGCGCTTTATACTTTTTATCAATTTTACCAATTTAATCTGAATGATTAATATTTTAAATTAATTCAAAGTACAAAACTGAAAAAAAAGATGTACATAAAAAGAACTGGGAAAAAAACATTTTTTTTTCTTATTGCAAAAAAATTTTGCTTTTTTCCATTTTTTAAGAAAAATTTTGAAAGTTTGTTGAACAAACCACAGGAAAATAAACGACGTTGCCGCTCATAGCAGGGATGCGTAGAAGATATGTATGATACTACCAAACGCATTGAAACAAGTTTGGATACTTTGATTTAACTTTTTAGTTTTATTTGACCGTTAACTTTTTTTTTTTCCGTGCGATCATAATCTTCGCACAAAAATCTATAATCACCTAATTTTGTATGAAAATGTCATTTTTTGTAACTAAATAAGAAGTGATTAACTTCTCAGTATCAACTACAGTTCCATAAGGCTCGTGTTAAAAAGACGCTTTTTTTTTCAATAATTTTATCGTTGACCTTGCGATCTTTTGGTAGCAATCGAAAGTTGACGCATTAAGAATGTTCTGTTAAGTTTTTAACTAAATTTATAACAATTAAAAATTTGCGTGAGCCATCTTAATGCAATATTCACCATTTCTACTTATCCAGACTTGTCTTATGTCCATTCAATAGTTCGAAGGTAGTGATGGTTTCTCGTTGAATTCTTACCAAAGGGTTCCAAAGTTACATCTTTCTTACACCATTGATTTGTTCTCCTCTATAGTTTGGTAAGTGCGACCGAATATACCCTGGCTCTGGGGTTCAGACATGGACATAAGAGTTTAGTGAAATGTTGTGCCTGTATCTGTAATCGTGCTATGATATATATAACGGTTCTATTGAATTATCACAGGAATTAAACCAATTAAAATAATAATAGTAATAGATAGTGTAATACATTAATAGTATATTATCACGGTGATCAAACTGCGGCTCGCGTGTCAGACACGGCTCTTTTAGACCCTTATTGCAGGTCCCATATATTATATTATAGAATATTTTTTTTATAAACTTGACACATACTACATACACCCCAAATAGCACAAAAACGTCCTATGTACGTTCGATAGACGTACGTTCCGGACGTTCTGTACATTCGGAGGATGTCCCGAAAAGGTCCATATGTCCCCGTTAGGTCCTGGTTAAGATCTTTAAATGTCCTAGGAAGATCCTATTTACAAAGTGGAACGTCCTGAGGACGTTCTGTGTCAACATTCTCAGAACTTTTCCCGAATGTGTAAAAGTAACATTAAAGACGTATAAGAAACATTTCCCAAATATTTAAAATTGCGGTTAGGTTTTATTCTGTGCAAGGTGACAGGAATTAGGTTAGGTTGGTTTGTGTTTAACTAACGAAAGATTAACTTTCCTGCGATTTCTGTACTTAGTAGAAACTAGATCTGGTTAGTTCATATTAATAAATAAAAAGTTAAATTTCCTATAAGGAATTATAATGAAAATATAGGTCTGGGGATTATGATTTTCAAGTACATTGTGTTTATTTCTATTTTCACAGTAAATGATTCGGTGTTGCTTAGAGACAGTTTAAGAAAAAACATGCTTTTTCAACTTTCTTGAGGTTTTCGCACAAAACCACTAGTGTCGTTACATTTCTCTATTGATTCTTTAAAGACTGACACCTTGTTCATGGGGTTCCATCACCTTGCACGGAATGACACTGGCAAAAATACTAAACCATGCAAAATTTAAGTCTTGAGAACATCCGTAGGGCTTTTGGAACGGACATTTCTAGAACATCTGAAATTTAAGTCTTACGAACGTCCTAGGGATGTCCAAAATGGACATAGGACATTCGGATATAAACTGGACATGAAACGGACGTCCTTAGGATGTACGGTGCTATCTGGGACGTATGTAATATGATATTTTTGTAAGTTTGTTGACTTTATTATGCAGTGTGATGTACACACAGATAACTAACAATTTAATACTGTTCCAATAGAATAATAGAGGATGCGGCTCTCGAGTATTTCTGATAGGCGATATATGGCTCCTATCCTGACAAGGTTTGGCCACCACTGGTACATTACATTGTATTACCATACATAATACATTATTATATGTATATTATGGTACTATAATTGATTAGATAGTAGAATTTAAATTAGTTACAGAAGTAGTAATTATAACAGCAATATAAATGTACAAATAATACATTACAATTATATCTAATAATAAACACTACGTGACAAGCATAATATAAATATTATATGATCATACTACCGATACAATAATCAAATTCAAATCGACTAGGTTTGGATTTCTAATATAGGTATGCATCTAGTTTCCAAATAATAGCAACTTGTTTTTAGTTGTCTTATATTGTCTTCGTTTAAATTAATTTCCCGAAGGCATCCCATTTCACTTTACCCTTGCAAATAGATCTTCACTTAAAACGAAGTCTAACGAAAAAAGTTATTAATTCATTGTCGATCAACGCTTATCTCGGATTATTAATGCCAATACTTATCTCACTGATAAAATCCAAGTGATATTGAAACTTACCATCAAACATTGGTAAACTGCCGTTTCCCTCTAGGCGATAACGGAAGTTTAAATGAAATAAAGAAGCGGTAGCGTTCTGTGCGTACGGTTGAAACTCAGGCAAAAGTAACTAAAATAACCAAGGGCATAACATGATGAATTAATGTAATGTGTAAAATATAAACCAATATGTCGAAATTAAGTGAACAACTTAGAATGATATATTCAGTGTTGCGGCTGTTCACAGAAATAAATCGAAGTATGTCTACCTATACATGTTATGCGAGCAACATTCAGGTAACTTACCTTGGTTGCAGTCGGTTACGGCTACTAGATGATAGAGCAGCCAGCTCTGCAATTCCATCACTGCTGTGCCCCACGCCACCTGAACAAAACAGAATTCTTTAATATTTTTCAACTCTATACCAAAACGTTGTCGACGATAGAGATTAATTTGTTTTTTAATTAAATTTTTGTGAATATGATATTTTTCGAAACAATTTTTATTTTAGTTTCTAGCAGCTAATATGCAGACTTCGGACATCATAGTTTTGTGAATAATAAATTTTAACGAAGATTAATAAAATTTTCAAGAAACAAATTTCTGTATCTGTGTGATTTTTGGGCAACAGTCAATGAAAATATGAAGTTACATGAACGTAAGTCTAATAATCGAAGTCTAGAATTTTGGAAAACAAAGATAATTATCTATTGATACATTCAAAAGATATTTTATTATATCTGAATTGTAAATTAATTTATGAATAATATTATTCACGTTATTGAAGTATTACATTTAATAGTTATTAGATAGTTTTAACGTTATTCCTGTTATGACTAATTATGTTCTTTTTTTTCTAATGCTATGCTTTGCAGTTGATTTTAACGGTATATTTCGATACAGTACTCGCTTGCATGGAAATGTAATTAATTATTCAAATGCATTGTACAGATTTAAATGTAAATAATAATCGAGATGTTTAGCCTTTGTCGGACACTTTTATTCATCTAGGATGGAAGCACTAGTAAAAGAACAAAAACGAGTGAATTAAAATAAGCAAATGATTAAATATTGATTACTTTCAATTCTTTGTTTCATATTCAAACAATTTTCGCGCCATTATTGGTTAGAAATATTCATTTGCTTAGTATTGTTCATCCACTGGTGAAATCTGTATTTTTTTTATTTCTAATTTAATCAATTAAATTTTTCCAATTTCTCAAATTAAAACCTATACGTTATAAAAAGTATGTATATTAAAAAATCTAATTTTCATGTGGCAAATATTTATTAATATTATCATTTAAAATTTTATTTTAATAGTTACAAAATCGTTTATTAAATGTTTATTCATTGGTGTGTTTACCCTGACATCTAAAAATACGGGGTTAACGCGCGCAATACACCGATCGACTGTAAATTGCAGAAGATGAATTAACCGTTTAACCCCCCAGTGTTGCACCGGTGCAACACTCATTTGAAAAGTGCATCAAATTCTGTCGCCGGTTAATATCTAACTTTTGTCAGAAAAGATTCACAGTTTCACTGATGTGAAGTAGATCTTAAAGTTTACAATTGAGAACAATTCAAGTATTTCCTCCAAAAATAAACAATGAAGACAAAAATGAAAAAAAAAAAAAAAATAGGTTTGTTTAATATCGTAAGTGTGTTTAATTTTCGCCTTCAAAATAACTTCACTTAATTAATTTTGAAATAACGATTTAAAGAACTGGGCGTCACAGGGTTAATGTGAATTGAATTTAATTTTAAACGTGTAACTGCTTACTCGCTATCAAAAATCGACAAGCTACTCCTCAATTACACATTCTTCAGCGTAAACGTTTCACCGTTAAGCTCTAATTCTTCGGCACAAAATCAGATAGACGAAGCATCGTGATACGGATAAAATTAATATCGCAAATTCATGTCGGACAAAGGATTAAATAGGTTAAAGCATATATGCTCCCTCGGTCGTGTAATTTGTGTCAGTAGCCGAGGTCGAACCCGATACAGTGGAAATGGGAACGTAATGTGCGTTGCGGTTTGTTGTCGCTAGGTATAATCGTGTATGTACCGACGAGGCATAACCGTACGGCTGTTGGATCGATTGTAAGGAGCGCCAAGACGAGCCAGATACTCTCATTCTCGTTTGTCGAAATAATAGGGGGCAAATGGAAACACGACGGGACATTGTTTAGTCTCCATGTGTAGCTACATATATATGTTAAGTGTGTATTTCGAGAACGTGGATTACATTGGGTTCCAGAAAACATTGTTTTTTTCACTTTGGCGAATTTTTTGTGCTTCTCGTATTAGACGAGTGCAAAAGTTTCAATAGGCATTGTTATAAGAGAGTAGAGTAATAACTTAATAATAATTTGACAACATATATAAAGTGATTACATTTTTTTAAAAATCTAATACTTTGTGTATCTTTACCCCCATACGTTGACACTTCAAAACAAGCGTCACTTTAACCTAATGATTTTTTCTTTGTACGTAAGAACCGTATTTCTGCTGTCGTTATTTCTTGCGGTTTTACGGAAATTAAAACATCTAAATGTCTGCTAATCATAGTTAGGGATGATACTTTTGTTTCGATACCGAGTACTTTTGGTATCGATACGTACGGTTGTGATAGCTAGTAGGTATCGAAAAGAAGTACTCGTATCGAATGGAGTGAGTATCGACCCATGAACATTTGATATTGTAATTACTTTCAACACAAAACAATGTTGTTTCTATTAATAATTAAGCAATGTGTATTTAAATATTTTCAATATTAAAATAATATAGGTATATATGGTTATGTAGGTGTGAGCTTCCAAAAATGGTATTTTCAAATATAGAACAAGTTTTCCTGCATTGTTTCCCGCAGCATCTCCATCTACCATCTATGTTATGGTTGACATCCTTGTTCAATATGCATGCTACCTCCCCAATGAAATATTTTACTACTTAAATTTAGCAAATTTAATTCACTTGGGAAGTCAAGGACTGATTAGTAATATTCATGTTTATTGAATCTTATATTGAAATCGTCACCACGAGTCTGACTCGATGTTATAAATAAAGCAAATGGTTTAAAAAACACAGTTAAAAGACTAGTGCTATCGGTCGTGCTCAAATGTCTCAAAATATCCGACAGTTTGGCACAACTGCAAATCTTCGAGTACTTCGAGCATCTATGCCGGTCTCTTGGTGCTATTCGAACCGCATCCAACGTACTCGAGCGTATTCGAGTTATCGAGACGGCGCGCGTAATGTATTCCGAATCGACTGAACGGTTTGATATTTAAAATCACTTGAAACCGTTAAAGGGTCGCTCAATATAGATAGATTTAGGTATACATCTGAATCAAATTGATTGGCAATTAATTAATTAAATCAAGAAAAACTGATCTCGTTTAGGCCGAATTTCATAAACATGAGCAGCACCTTCCTTTTTCATTACCATTATCCGGTACGTATTAAATTTAGTATTGCATTCTTGTTATTTTGAATTAGAATATGTTATAGCATTTTTGGAGCTGATCAAATAGTCAATGCGTTCGTGACCGTTAAGTTCAATTGTATAAATTTGAACTAGAGGAATTTGATTTGTATCTTTTTATATTGTTTTATAGAAATGGATATTAAATAGTAAATGCTACTATACATCGGGAGATAACAAATGAAATAAAAATTTTATTTATTTCGTTATGCCGTGTCCATTTGAAGACGTTATAAATTCAGTGGCAGTATTAGGTACATGTAATCTATCATACAACATACAGGCATATATAATATTATTTTAAATTATAATGTATTAAAACATAATTCCTCGACATTATCTGGCAATAATTATGTTTTTTAAATTATAATTTAAAATAATATTACATATGCCTGTATGTTGTATGATAGATTAAATGTCCCTAATACTGCCACTTTATTTATTTTACTTAATAAAAACATAACGTACGAAGAAATGTGTATTGAAGGTTGTATTATTAACCCTGTCCAACCGTGGGATTCCATTTGGAATCGTTAAATTATTTAGTATTATTATACATTATAGTTCATATCATGAACCTGAAGATTCAGTATGGCATTGTATTGTATAGTATAATTTTTTGCCGTTAGACGGAAAAGTTCTCGAAAATATTATTCGGGACCCGACATCTGTCGGGATACCGTATCTTCGGGGTACCGTACGTCCGAAGGACGTCCCTTTCATGTCCAGTTTATGTCCGAATGTCCTATGTCCATTTTGGACATCCCTAGGATGTTCGTAGGACTTGAATTTCGCATGAGCAAGATGTTCTTTAGAGAACCAATAGAGAAGTGTAACGTCACTAGCGGTTTTGTGCAGAAGCCTCAGTAAATTTGAAAAAATATTTTTTTTCTTACACTGTCTAACCAACACAAAATCAGTTCTTTCCTTTGAGCAGGTAAATGGCCTTTTAAAACTGTTTCTAACCAACATAGAATCAGTATTTTGCTTTGAATCAGTGATTTTTTTTCTTTAACCGTCTCTCAACACACAATCAATATTTTGCTTTGAAAATAAAAATAAACACAATGTACACACTACAGATCATAACCCCTAGACCTATATTTTCATTATAATTCCTTATAGGAAATGTAACCCTTTATTTATTAACAGAAACTAACGTGATCTAATTTCTACTAAGTGCGGAAATCGCAGGAAAGTTCATGTTTTATTTATTAAACACAACCAACCTAACCTAACTTCTATCACCTTGCACAGAATGAAATCTAACCGTAATTTTAAACGTTTAGGAAACGTTTCTTATGTGCCTTTTAAGATATTATCATAGCGTTTTTAAAAACTCTTTAAATGTTCCCAAAAAGTACAGAGAATGTTACTTTTACACATTCGGATCCTGTGTGAACATTCTCAGAACTTTCCACTTTGTTAATAAGACCTTCCTAGTATCTTAACGAGGACGTAGTCGGGACATGTGGAGCTTTTCGAGACATCCTCCGAATGTACCGAACGTCCGGAACCTACGTTTTCCGGATGTATTGTCGAATGACGTTTTTGTGCTATTTGTGTTGGGGACTGGTAATGCAATTATAAAAAATACT